ATAAACTGAGACTCCATTGTGACACCCAGTTATTACTTCTCCCTGGTGCAGGACACTGCAGGGCAGCTTCTACCTGTTCTCTAATATAGACAAAGACAGCAAGCCTCCACATCTCTAAAAAAGGTATTTTTGATTCCTCAGGTATTCCTTTTTCTCCTTACCGTAGTCTCTCTTCTGAGAATAAGGCCCCCCGGTCTTGATGTAACTTGCCAAAGAACTATTATTAACTGGTTATCAGCTCCATCTGTCCCTACGAGAAGAAGAAATTCTGACCGGTGATGTCACTGTTGTAAGATTTTTCCCGGGGGCCTCTCGTAACACCAAGAAGCTAAAGGGCAGTTGATTTAATAGACTTGCTTAGCGTACTGGGGAAACTTGACCAATCCTCTGAAAACCTTAGCTAAGCAATATTGGTCCATTTTGGAGCTATTTATTACATTAGCCAAGGAAGCCTGGAAAAGGCCTTTGATCATATATTATATTCATGTACCTACCTGCCTACCTACCTCCGTGACAAGTTATAAAGTGCATGGATCCTCTGTGATACCATCTCTGTAGTTGAGTCAAAGGGGGAGGAATCTGAGTTTTGCTGAAAGATAACAGAATAACGGCATGAAACTTTAGGCAGAGGATATGGGCTTCTTTGGCATCCAGAGACAGAAGGACCTAGATTAGAAGGTGGTCTTCCAAAACCAGTGGTTCTCTAGATTCGCACCACCCTGGAAACCTGTACTTAAAAAAACAAAAAAAATTTTTTTTTTTTTAATCCAGTTGATCCTTGAACGACACGTGTTTGAACTTTGTGGGTCCACTTATAAGTGGATTTTTTTTTCAGTAAATGAAGTACAGTACTGTAAATATATTTTCTTTTATGATTTTCTTAATGATCTTTTCTCTGGCCCACTCTTTTGTAAGAATTCAGTGTAGAATATATATAACACACAAAATATGTGCTAATCAGCTATTTATGTTATCAGTAAGGCTTCTGGTCAACAGCAGGCTGTGAGTAGTTAAGTCTGCGGGGAAGTCAGAGTCCCACACGGATTTTTAACTGCGCAGGGTTAAAACCATGTGTTGTTCAGGGCTCGGCGGGTCTGTGGTTCAAGGGTCTGAATCCTCGTGTCCCTTCTGAGGCCATGTTCACTGTTCTCACAGGCCTGAGGCTCTGTAGGCATCCTTGGTGTGTAACTTGCACTTACTTCGGTGATTTAAAGGAAGCTGTTAACTCAGGTGGATTAAACAGATGAAGAGGAACAAGTTGATGGTTCTTGAGCAGTAATGTTAAAGTTGGCTTGAAATGAGACCGTGGAAGTTAGGAGACTATATTCTAGCTAGAGCATTAACATGTTTTCCCACAAAGTGTTTTTTCTTTTTTTTATTTCCAGTACCATTTTTATACCAGCATTGAAAGTGCACTTCAGCATCCAGACTTCCCTGAAGATAGTAGTGCTGTTCTCTGTGCAGATGGTCAGTGGGTTCGGTCCGTAGGAAGCAGTGTTAGAACTCTGACAGTTTCACCGTCTTCCTGCCCGCCTGGGTGACCTCGTCCTAGACTCATTCAGCCTGTGCATGTGGGGAGTTTCTCAGAGCAGAAGAACATTGTCAGCAGAGGGCCCATCCGTCTCTCAGCCTCCGTATTTCCAGTCTCAGATCATAAAAGATGCTCCTTGATACTGTTTCTGGAATACTTTCTAAAGGGAGTTAGAGAGAGCCTGGGAAAAAATTGGGTCCTGACAGTGCTTGCACGATGCTGCTCTTTGAGGAAGAAGACTTTGAAGGGGGTGGTGGACTGGCCTGGCGAGGGCCTGCGGACACGGTGCGGGGGCTCAGCGGTTTCTTGTGTGTTACCTGTCACCCCAGCCTGGGAGCCAGAGTCCCATGCTCACATATATAAGTGCACTTGTAGGGGGAAGAGTTAGGACCAGAGAGGGCTTGGATCATTTCTCTTCAACCAGACGATACTTAACCGATGTTCGTATAGAAACAAGCTAGCTTTCTGGGTGTTACCCCATGTTCCTGCTTCCTCAGCCTGTTTTCTCCCTCTCTCGTATTTAGATCATACGCCTTTTTTGTGATAAACATTATAAAAAAAAAAAAAAGCTTGTCCTCTCTTTAGTCCTTCAGCCAAATCAATGACATGCTAATTTCTGATTTTTTTTTTTTCCCTGAACTGTTACTTGTTCTGTCCCCAAAATTCTGAAATGATTCTCTTGAGGGAACATGTCCTTTACCCCTCAGCCCCAGTTGAAAAATGCCTTAGCAGATGTCCTTTCTGTGAAGAAAGTGTTTCTACGTAATTGCTATCACTGTGACCAGAACAACAGAAGTAAAAGAGAAAGGATAAAAAAATTGTATGGACATTAGAATGGTAAATTACGTGTGCCTGTGGGGGCAGGGCAAGAGGGAAATACATCAAAATGAAAACTGACAGTCTTAGGATGGTGTGATTCTGGGTATACTTTTATTTTTTCAAAATTGTACTTGATGTCATTTGAAAACAAAAAGCTTCTTTTAAACTGTGTTTTTGCATAAATATCAGGTTGTACACTCAATAATTATTTGGTAGTATTTAAAGAAATTCTCAAAGTGATTTTTAAATCTTTTTGTTTTTTTTTGGTGATTCGCCCAAATAACCTTAATGGTCCCTTTCCTAAATTTTAAGATTGTATTTTAAAATAAGTAAAAATGGTGACACATAATACAGGTGGTGGATTTTTTTTACTATCTTTGGAACATTACTTTTTCTATAAATCCTTAATCTTGACTAGGAATACTGTGGTATTGACTTTTTTCTGTTTTTGGGGAAATTATAGTCATGTTCATAAATCTGGACATATCTAAGTAGCAAGAATAGATTTGGTAATTTGAGGAGCAGAGTGCAGCCCAGACGTCCAGACAGACAGCGTTCATAATATGCTGGCCATCTGCAGTCCGCATCCCTGGTGATACAGAGGAAAGACTGGCCTCTCTCGTTCTAGTAAAACCACGTGCTGTGTGTGCAGCAAGGACATGTGCGCTGGTCAGAGGGAATGCAGGGTCTGGCCTCAGGGGAGATGGTGTTACTCGCAGTAGACTTGGGGGGAACTGGGGCAGACCCAGATCTGTTCCCTCATCGTTTAACTAGTGGGGGGAGGTAGCAAGAAGCTGGGGCCGGTGTAGACCTGTCTGGGTGCTGGGCCAAGAGGCAAGGTGATAAGAAAGTTATACCTTGGGACGCTTGGGTGGCTCATTCAGTTAAGTGTCTGCCTTCGGCTCAGGTCATGATCCCAGGGTCCTGGGATCGAGTCCTGCATCGGGCTCCTTGCTCAGTGGGGAGTCTGCTTCGCCCTTTGCCCCTGCTTGTGCTCTTTCTCTGTCTCTGTCTCTCTCTCTCTCTGACAAATAAATAAATAAAATGAAATTAATTTTAAAAAAAGGAAAGAGAAGAAAGTTACACCTTGACCAGATAAATACACAGATGTACAGGGACTAAATTTAGTACCTTGGAAACCTCAGTCTGGGGAGGGTCCCCTGCACAAGAAAGGTCTAGAAATCATGTCGAGCTAATGATGTTTAGTGTGAGTCAGAAAAGGCTTCAGAGGATCTGACAGATGCCTTCAAAATCCCAAGGGTGGTTGGTGAATGTGGAGGCATGTCTTGTGAGGTCCTCTGGGGAGCCAGACTGGGCATGTGTAGCCATGGGGTGAAGACCGGTGTCCGCGTGATGGAAGGAAGATTTCCTTGTGCTTGGAGGTCTCCCTTAAGGCATCAGGTGGTGAATTCTGGAGGTGTTCAGCAGGGGACGACGGAGGTCTGTCCACACTGTGCAGTCCACCAAGAGGCCTCGCCACTGCCTCCTGAGTTTGTGTGCCGGAAGCTTCTGTTTCAGTTCCCCTCAGACTGAACGTTGGGTTGTGTGGCGTCCATCACCCCTGTCCCTTCAGATCAGGGTGTCAACCAAAGACAGCAGCTTCCTTTCCTTTGTTATTTCTGAGCTCAAAATGGAGATCTGGAATGCTGATCGAATGTCCCCGCCCCTGTCCCCTGTGCCCCCTTCCCCTTGAGTGGGTGGCCTGCCCTTCCATGCTCTCCCCAATCTTTACCTTAGCCCAGAAGCACAAAAATGGCCTTGTGTGTGTAACTCGATTTCTTCTAGAATGATGTCTGCTCTTACTGTGGATGTGAGGCTCAGCGCGCCTCTTTAGCTCTCCTGTGCTCCCATCCGCTGAAAGACCGATGCCCTCCTGGAGGGTCTTAGGCAGCCATCTCCAGGAGCCTGAAGTGCGGAGGATGGTGGGAGGGGGTGGGAAGGGGGCCGATGTCCTCTTCTAAAATCGGGGTGGTGTGAAGGGTGACTTGGGTTGGGTGCTCTGTAGCAGCCTCAAACTTGAAGTCTCTAAATGCCCTTGACCCCTTTGCAAATATTTGGGAAAAGAGATTATTTCTGTAGAGATTCATCTTCATCAACTTAATGTATTTTAAAAACTAAGAGCTACAATTAGAAATAATTCGTATTTTCAGACATGTATATGGACACAATCACTTCTGTGATCAAAGTTAGGGATGTGTTAGCCCAGTTTGATGTAACCATGTGATTCGTGCATCTGGAAAACAGTAGCCCACAGAATTCTTGTCTTTTTTTTTTTTTTTAAAGATTTTATTTATTTATTTGACAGAGAGAGACATAGCGAGAGAGGGAACACAAGCGGGGGAGTGGGAGAGGGAGAAGCAGGCTTCCCGCCGAGCAGGGAGCCTGATGTGGGGCTTGATCCCAGGACCCCGGGATCATGACCTGAGCTGAAGGCAGTCGCTTAACCGACTGAGCCACCCAGGCGCCCAATTCTTGTCTTTTTAACAGCAATTAAATAGCATCCAGGTGTGCTGGTCGGCCTCGTTCCTTGCCACGTTTTTAAGTGTGTCTCCTCCCTGACCCATATGCTGTGTTGATGGTCTTATTTTTCTAATGTCAGTTCTGAACTGCTCACCCTTTATTGACCGCACAGGTCTTTTCCTTCCTGCAGGCATAGGGGGCCTTCAAGACTTCGTGCTCAAGTCAGCGACTCTGTGTAGCGTGCCATCTTGCCCGCCGTTTATACCGCTCAGCTTCGAGGCTACCCCTATTGTGAGGGTTGCTGTTGAACCGAAGCACCCAAGTAAGACAACTTTGTTTTTAAAAGCCTGTGATGTTCATGACACCTTGTAAATGTGTGCATTTCGTACTTGGTTCCTCACTATTTGCTTCAACAGTGTGCTGTGGGTTTTCTTTTTTTTTTTTTTTAAAGATTTATTTATTTATTTGAGAGAGCGAGAATGAGAGAGAGAGAGAGCATGAGAGGGGGGAGGGTCAGAGGGAGAAGCAGGCTCCTCGCTGAGCAGGGAGCCCGATGCGGGACTCGATCCCGGGACTCCAGGATCATGACCTGAGCCGAAGGCAGTCGCTTAACCAACTGAGCCACCCAGGCGCCCCATGCTGTAGGTTTTCATTCAGTGTGCTGTGGGTTTCCCGCAGTCACAAAATGACATCATTATAAATAAATATTTTCAAACATCTAATTTCATTTCATTCATGTGTAATAGGAGGGATCTTCCCGCCATGGGTTCCTGTGTACCACCCACTCACCAAAGGTGGTCTGACCTCTGCCTTAGGAACATGGTACATTAGGCACCTTCTCCCTGGGGAACCTGGATCCTTCTTGAGGGCAGAGACAAGGGCATCTGTGCAGCCCCACAACCCCTGGCATGGGTGGTGCCTCAGCAAAGCTCATGTTTTATGTACTTGTTTTAGAATCTTAGCCCATGCTTCTTGCTCCAGAATCTGTCATATGCTCTTCCCTGTGGCGTTGTAGATTATCTGGACACAGAGCATTTCCGGCCTGTTTAGAAAGCACTTTCTGCCCCACCCGCACGTGGCAGGTCATGTAATAACCAGTGCTTCGTCTTTGGTCTACACCGTTTGCCTGACCAGTCCTCAGTAACTCTTGTATTTAGCTGCCCGTGACTTCGCTAACCCGTATTCCCGGTGCTCGCTGGTAGGTCAGTGAAGAATCTCCAGACTGTGCTTCCAGGGACCCCGAGGACAAACGCTGTCAGGTGGTAGTTCTCTGCCAAGATGGAGGTCGGTCCCGTTGCCCTTGCACGCGCATACCCCTCCTCGCCCCAGAGCCGGGGCCTTCCGAAAGCTTGTCTCGGCCTCATGTTCCACAGATGGCCTTAGCATTGAGGCTCCCTGGGGTCCTAGAGCAGACACTCGGAGGACCGCATCTGTGACCTTTGGGCTGGTGAGCAGTCCTGGGGAGCAGCCATCTTCGTTGGGCCCCGGAGCTGAGCGTCCTTTCGGGGCCGCCATTGTGGACCACAGTGCGGGGTGGCTGCATGGATTTACCCTGTTCTCTCTAATGCCGGCTTCCTCTCTGGGCCCTCCTGGTTTGCTCTTCTCTTCCACTGCCGGCCTGGCTCTGGCCGTTGTCAGCTGCTCCAGCCCGTGTACGTACAGGACAAGGAAGTTTAATTGGAGTTGTGGCATTTGAGTCTGGCAACTGTAGCTCATTCTTAGGCCTTTCTAGTAGGACTCCGTTCTTCTCTAGTCCATTTAGATCTAAACGTTTAAAACAGAGTAAGGAAATAATTGATCATTCAGACTGTGATGTTTTCGTAGACATTTATAATCTTTGAACTCTGGTGGCTGTGTGCTGGAGGACAGGGACCTGGTGCCCGGCCCCGCCCCATCCCGTAGCAGACGCTCAGTAAGGGTGATTCCCCTCCTTAAATGAGGCAGTGCAATAATAGAATGACTTAGGATGATCCATCCGGATGCCAGAGTTTTCCTCATGTCTGTTTCATTAGGTTGTTCTGAACTTTGTAAAAAATAAACTACACTGATTGAGAAGGAGCACCCATTTCTCTTCGTAATCTTAAAAAGAGCGTTGCCCCTCCTCCCACCACATACATTGCTTTTGCTGGACTTGCCGTGCGTGTTCTTGCCTGTATTACCGCAGGCCATGTGCCCACATGTCTGTGTCTGAATTTTATACGCACTGTTCTGTCTTCTTGCTGTTGCTACAAGGCCCATCTCTGCACATCAAGAATGCCTGGGACTACTTCTAACGCTGTGCTCACTCCTGTGAGGCCTCAGGGGGCAGGTACTGTGACTTTACTCTGCCCTGGTCCCTCGCACCCCTCCTTACTGTGGGGCGGAGCCCCTCTCTCCGTGGATGCTGTGTCTGCCGTGGATGCTGACTGCTGGGGTGGCCACCCTCTTGGACCCAGACTTCCCAGTGCTCCTGCCCCCGAGAGCCACTGGGCGGATGCGCTGTGTACTTCATGGGCTGCCTTTGCTAGATCACAGGGTCCGTTTTATTTATTTATTTTTTTTAAAGATTTTATTTATTTATTTGACAGAGAGAGAGATAGCGAGAGCAGGAACACAAGCAGGGGGAGTGGGAGAGCGAGAAGCAGGCTTCCTGCCGAGCAGGGAGCCCGATGTGGGACTTGATCCCAGGACCCTGGGATCATGACCTGAGCCGAAGGCAGACGCTTAACGACTGAGCCACCCAGGCGCCCCAGGGTCCGTTTTAAAATCCAGTTAGCGGTTGATATACAAAGGTTTCCTTGAAATCCCGATGGTATTTGTCATGATCTCAGTTTTTCTTATATTATTAAAAGATGTTGATTTTTTATCTTTATCAGATCATTTGGTAGATTTTTAAGCAGGTTAGGAAAATCAGCTTCCAGATTTAATAAGAGGTTAAATAGATGTTGTTTCTGCCAACAAAATGACTATCATTATAAATAAATATTTTCAAACATCTAATTTCAAAATGTTGTCTCCGTAGTCCAAGTTTTGTTTTGAGAAAGTTTTTTCTTGGCTTACTGTTAAACTGTCACCTTTACCATGAGGAGGTAGATTTAAGTGTATATGCCTTTTTTTTTTTAAGGACTTGGTAATTTGGCAAATGGAGAGCTGGCAAAAAGCTTTTTCACTTATTTTTTTATCGTTCCCTTTGTGCTTTGTGTTATTCGTGTTATCAGTGGTTTTTTTGCAGGAATGTTTTTCAGCCATGCTTCAAATTCTGTGAAGGTTAAGTTAGTTAACACTAGGTAATATCCGTAAGTCCACTTAATGAGGCAAAGGAAGACCACAGTATGCTGAAAAGGAGCACACGAGGCTGCCTGTGGCTGCCGCACGCGCGGTGGGGTCCTCCGGTGCCGTGCATCCCACGTGTGGCTCGTGGCTGCCTGAGCTGTGTGGGTGCTGAGCCCCACCCCGCGCTCCAGAGCCAGCAGCGCCCTGAGCTCTGGGCCCTGCCTCCCCGTACCTGCTGCTCGTCTGTGGGACAGGAACAGCGCTCATCCCGGCCACATAATTAGAGTTCCTCCATGTGAAGGACCTGTGGCACGTTGCTAGCTAATGTGAAGTGTTAGTTATCATCAGCCAAGTGGATACGGATAAATAAATGGATCTGGAACAGACGTGTTGAGAACCCCTGATGGCAGAGAGGTCCGGTGGCTTTGCTGTGTGGCATGTTGAAAACCACGCGTTGAGGGAACCCTTCCTTCAAGTGTAGAGGTGAAACCAGACGGCACAGAAATCCCTCCGAGGCCAGGGTCGCTGCTGAAGCAACAAGGAGAGACTTGCTCTGCTTGAATGGACAGTAGCCACTGAGTACACGGGAAGGCGTGGAAAAGCGGTTAAGCCCGAGACGTGGGCCAGAATCCTGTGGACTGTAGGGAAAACAGCCATGTGCCCGAAGCGCGGGCAGATGGAGTGTGGAAGGTGCCCAGAGCTCAGTGGGCACAGTGGCCCCAGCCGGAGGGCAGCTTTCTCTGAAAATGCACGGTTCTCTCAAGCAGGCTTGTAACGATTGCTTTAAGCATGTGGCTTTGGCTTGAATACCATGTGAACTGGTTTTTTGTTGTCATTATTTGTCTATTTCTTGAGTCTCACTCTTCTTTGGGGGAGAGTTCTGTTACATTTATAGGTACAGAATATGTATGTTTGTGTAAAATTCAGGTGGATTCACACATACGATGGTCGTAGTTTGTATTTGCTGTGTGTTTGATGAAGTCGTATAGACCAGCTTCGGGGGTCCTGACGGTAAGCTTCTGAGGGTCTCCTGTTAGCTATCTGTACTAATAAATTCGCAGGAGACAATTTTCCTCACATGGCTGCATTATTTGGAAGAGTTATTTTAAGAGTTTATTTCATTTTACTTTTCCCTTCGGTGGCCACGGGCATCACCTTGCGGTTTGATTATTAGTCCTTACGTTGCACTGAATCAGCCTTCGTCTTGTTAACCTAGGTGAAATGCCTCAGCTCGTCAAAGGAATGAAGCTCTTAAACCAGGCTGACCCCTGTGTCCAGATTTTAATTCAAGAAACGGGAGAGCACGTTTTAGTCACGGCGGGGGAGGTCCACCTTCAGCGATGCCTGGATGACTTGAAAGAAAGGTAGGTTGGTGGTAGTCAGGGGTGGGGTTGGGGGGTCGGTGCGTCCAGTGGATTCTGAGTTCCACTGGACAACCGTGGCTAGTTTTTAGAGAAAAACGAAAGTCCCTCAATTCAAGCATGAACTGTTACTGTGCTGTTGGATCATAGATTCAGTTTTTAATGACTGACACTTTACTTCTGTACTTGAATAATTTTACATTTTTAAGCTTGAATCATACAATAGCTTCACATGTGAGTATCTTCCTGTGAGCATACGCACACGCGTGTCAACAGAACACAGTCCTATGTTGTGAGCTTAGAGTGACTGGGACAGACTTCTGTCCTTCCTGATGTCGTCTCCACAAGGTACACCTTCGGGAAATCTTCCCATTTCTCCATCCTGGTGATGGGACCTGTCCTAAAGTAGGCATCCCAGATCACGTTTTGTCAGTAACACTTCTCCTCTTTATTCCCGAACTAACGTGTGTTTATCGTAGCAATTAGACAGAAGGATGAACGAAGCATTCACTTACCACACAGAGATCACGTCCGAGACGGTCGGGCACGCAATGCCGCTGACTGTGCTGTGCGTACTCCTGCGTACACAGATGCCTGGCTAGGAGCAGCTCTGGTTATTTGGTTACCATAAACGTCGGGCTCAGCAGCTGCCATGCGTTCCTGGCGTGTTTTGTGGGCTTACGATCTCTATCATCCTTGAGAAAGGCTGGTACAGTTTACTCTGTAACTGGGAGAAGGTCTTCGAAAGTGCTTCTTTTCTCAAATTTAGCCAGCCCTGTATATTATCATTTTAAAAAAATTTCACCAGTCTGGAAGACAACTAACAGGTGTTCATTGTTAATAAACACATTTCCTGTGTTTGTAACTAATGATACTGAAACATTTCTTTCTCTGTTTATTTGGCCATTCATTTTTCTTCTTTGATGAATTGCATTGTAATGGCCTTCCTTCCCCTTATTTTTAAAATTTTGGGGGACTTTTTTTTTTTTTTTTAAGTTTACTTTTATTTTATTTTTTTATTGTTATGTTAATCCCCATACATTACATCATTAGTTTCAGATGAAGTGTTCCATGATTCATTGTTTGTGCATAACACCCAGTGCTCCATGCAGACCGTGCCCTCCTCAATACCCACCACCAGGCTAACCCATCCTCCCACCCCCCTCCCCTCTAGAACCCTCAGTTTGTTTTTCAGAGTCTATCGTCTCTCATGGTTCATCTACCCCTCCGATTTACCCTGCTTCATTCTTCCCCTCCCGCTACCTTCTTCTTCTTCTTTTTATTTTTCTTAACATATATTGCATTATTAGTTCCAGAGGTACAGATCTGAGATTCAACAGTCTTGCACAATTCACAGCGCTTACCAGAGCACATACCCTCCCCAGTGTCTATCACCCAGTCACCCCATCCCTCCCACCCCACCCCCCACTCCAGCAACCCTCAGTTTGTTTCCTACAATTAAGAATTCCTCATATCAGTGAGATCATATGATACATGTCTTTCTCTGTTTGACTTATTTCGCTCAACATAATACCCTCCAGTTCCATCCACGTCGTTGCAAATAGCAAGATCTCATTCCTTTTGATGGCTGCATACTATTCCATTGTATATATATATACCACATCTTTATCCATTCATCTGTCGATGGACATCTTGGCTCTTTCCACAGTTTGGCTATTGTGGACATTGCTGCTATAAACATCGGGGTGCACGTACCCTTTCGGATCCCTACTTTGTATCTTTGGGGTAAATACCCAGTAGTGCAGTTGCTGGATCATATGGTAGCTCCATTTTCAACTTTTTGAGGAACCTCCGTACTGTTTTCCAGAGTGGCTGCACCAGCTTGCATTCCCACCAACAGTGTAGGAGGGTTCCCCTTTCTCCGCATCCCCGCCAACATCTGTCCTTTCCTGACTTGTTAATTTGAGCCATTCTGACTGGTGTGAGGTAGTATCTCATGGAGGTTTTGATTTGGATTTCCCTGATGCCGAGTGACATTGAGCACTTTTTCATGTGTCTGTTGGCCATTTGGATGTCTTCTTTGGAAAAATGTCTGTTCATGTCTTCTGCCCATTTCTTGATTGGATTCTTTGTTCTTTGGGTGTTGAGTTTGATGAGTTCTTTATAGATTTTGGATACGAGCCCTTTATCTGATATGTCATTTGCAAATATTCTGTCGGTTGTCTTTTGGTTTTGTTGACTGTTTCCTTTGCTTTGCAAAAGCTTTTTATCTTGATGAAGTCCCAAGAGTTCATTTTTGCCCTTGCTTCCCTTGCCCTTGGCGATATGTCTAGGAAGAAGTTGCTGCGGCTGAGGTCGAAGAGGTTGCTGCCTATGTTCTCCCTTAGGATTTTGATGGACTCCTGTCTCACATTGAGGTCTTTCAACCATTTGGAGTCTATTTTTGTGTGTGGTGTAAGGAAATGGTCCAGTTTCATTTTTGTGCATGTGGCTATCCAATTTTCCCAACACCATTTGTTGAAGAGACTGTCTTTTTTCCACTGGACATTCTCTCCTGCTTTGTCAAAGATGAGTTGACCATAGAGTTGAGGGTCCATTTCTGGGCTCTATATTCTGTTCCATTGATCTATGTGTCTGTTTTTGTGCCAGTACCATGCTGTCTTGATGATGACAGCTTTGTAATAGAGCTGGAAGTCCGGAATTGTGATGCCACCAGCTTTGCTTTTTCAACATTCCTCTGGCTATGCGGGGTCTTTTCTGGTTCCATAGACATTTTAGGATTATTTGTTCCATTTCTTTGAAAAAAGTGGATGGTATTTTGATGGGGATTGCATTGAATGTGTAGATTGCTCTAGGTAGCATTGACATCTTCACAATATTTGTTATTCCAATCCATGAGCATGGAACGTTTTTCCATTTCTTTGTGTCTTCCTCAATTTCTTTCATGAGTATTTTCTAGTTTTCTGAGTACAGATCCTTTGCCTCTTTGGTTAGATTTATGCCTAGGTATCTTATGGGTTTGGGTGCAATTGTAAATGGGATGGACTCCTTAATTTCTCTTTCTCTGTCTTGTTGTTGGTGTATAGGAATGCCACTGATTTCTGTGCATTGATTTTATATCCTGCCACTTGACTGAATTCCTGTATGAGTTCTAGCAGTTTTGGGGTGGAGTCTTTGGAGTTTTCCACATAAAGTATCATATCATCTGCAAAGAGTGAGAGCTTGACTTCTTCTTTGCCGATTTGGATGCCTTTGATTTCTTTTTGTTGTCTGATTGCTGTGGCTAGGACTTCTAATACTATGTTGAATAGCAGTGGTGATAGTGGACATCCCTGCCGCGTTCCTGACTTTAGGGGGAAAGCTCTCAGTTTTTCCCCATTGAGAATGATATTCGCTGTAGGTTTTTCATAGATGGCTTTTATGATATTGAGGTATGTACCCTCTATGCCTATACTCTGAAGAGTTTTGATCAAGAAAGGGTGCTGTACTTTGTCAAATGCTTTTTCTGCATCTATTGAGAGGATCATATGATTCTTGTTCTTTCTTTTGTTAATGTATTGTATCACGTTGATTGATTTGCGGATGTTGAACCAACCTTGCAGCCCAGGGATAAATCCCACTTGGTCATGGTGAATAATCCTTTTAATGTACTGTTGGATCCTATTGGCTAGTATTTTGGTGAGAATTTTTGCATCCATGTTCATCAGGGATATTGGTCTGTAGTTCTCCTTTTTGATGGGGTCTTTGTCTGGTTTTGGGATCAAGGTAATGCTGGCCTCCTAAAATGAGTTTGGAAGTTTTCCTTCCATTTCTATTTTTTGGAACAGTTTCAGAAGAATAGGTATTAATTCTTCTTGAAATGTTTGGTAGAATTCCCCTGGGAAGCCATCTGGCCCTGGGCTTTTGTTTTTTGGGAGATTTTTGATGACTGCTCCAATTTCCTTAGTGGTTATAGGTCTGTTCAGGTTTTCTATTTCTTCCTGGTTCAGTTTTGGTAGTGGATACATTTCTAGGAATGCATCCATTTCTTCCAGGTTATCTAATTTGCTGGCATAGAGTTGCTCATAATATGTTCTTATAATTGTTTGTATTTCTTTGGTGTTGGTTGTGATCTCTCCTCTTTCATTCATGATTTTGTTGATTTGGGTCATTTTTCTTTTTGATAAGTCTGGCCAGGGGTTTATCAATCTTGTTAATTCTTTCAAAGAACCAGCTCCTAGTTTTGTTGATCTGTTCTACTGTTCTTTTAGTTTCTATTTCATTGATTTCTGCTCTGATCTTTATGATTTCTCTTCTCCTGCTGGGTTTAGGCTTTATTTGCTGTTCTTTCTCCAGCTCCTTTAGGTGTAGGGTTAGGTTGTGTACTTGAGACCTTTCTTGTTTCTTGAGAAAGGCTTGTATTGCTGTATACTTTCCTCTTAGGACTGCCTTTGCTGCATCCCAAAGGTTTTGAATAGTTGTATTTTCATTTTCATTGGTTTCCATGAATTTTTTAAATTCTTCTTTAATTTCCTGGTTGACCCATTCATTCTTCAGTAGGATGCTCTTTAGCCTCCATGTATTTGAGTTCTTTCTGACTTTCCTCTTGTGACTGAGTTCTAGTTTCAAAGCATTGTGGTCTGAAAATAGGCAGGGAATGATCCCAATCTTTTGGTACCGGTTGAGACCTGATTAATGACCTAGGATGTGATCGATTCTGGAGAATGTTCCGTGGGCACTAGAGAAGAATGTTTATTCCGTTGCTTTTTGATGGAATGTTCTGAATATGTCTGTGAAGTCCATTTGGTCCAGTGTGTCATTTAAAGTCTTTATTTCCTTGTTGATCTTTTGCTTAGATGATCTGTCCATTTCAGTGAGGGGGGTGTTAAGGTCCCCCACTATTATTGTATTGTTGTCGATGTGTTTCTTTGCTTTTGTTTTTAATTGCCTTATATAATTGGCTGCTCCCATGTTAGGGGCATAGATATTTACAATTGTTAGATCTTCTTGTTGGATAGACCCTTTAAGTAGGATATAGTGTCATTCCTCATCTCTTATTACAG